GCTCTCATGTCTGCTGCTGCTGCTGTCATGTCTGCTGCTGCTGCCCTCGTGTCTGCTGCTGCCCTCATGCCTTCTGTTGCTGCTGCTGCTACTTTGCATGTGTGAATACTCAGAGGGGCGTAGCTTGCTGCTGCTGCTGCTGCTGCTATGACTCGGGCGGTAGTGGCTGCTGCTGCTGCTGCTGCTGCTGCTTCCGGTGTTGCTGCGGCCCCGGCCTCTGCTTCTGCTGCGGCTCCTGCGGCTACTCATAGCGTCGTTGCTGCTGCTGCTGCTGCTGCTGCCATGTTGCTGTGCATGCAATTCAGATCCGCGCTTATGCGAAGGAGAGTTACGGTAGTCCCTGCTGCTGCTGCTGCTGCTGCTGCTGCTGCTGCTGCTGCTGCTGCTGCTGCTGCCGTCTCTTGGGTGCCTGGGGCTCTTCTCAGGGCTTTTGCTGCTGCCGCGCCTCACGACATTGCGGCTTACAGCGAGGCGTCCATCATGCGAAGTGCTGCTGCTGCTGCTGCTGCTGTTGCTGCTGTCCACGTTGCCGTTGCTGCTGCTGCTGCTGCTGCTCGCCGCGCTCGTCGAGGAGCCTCGATATTCTATGTGCCGCAGCTTGGGCTGCTGTTCGCTGCTGCTACTGTTGCTGCTGCTGCTGCTGCTGCTGCTGCCTTGTCCCCTATCAGGCCCGACCCACGATGCAACCCGAGTATGGCTAACGTCTCCCTGCGCTTGATATTTGCTGCTGCTGCTGCTGTTATTGCTGCTGCTGTTACTGCTATTGCTGTTGCTGCTGCTGCTGCCAGCTGTGGGGGAGTCGCGCTCTTCTCTGCTACTGACTCGCAGTGTCTGCGTAATCAGCACCTCCCTGTGGCTGCTGCGGCTGCCATCCCCGCTGCTGTTGCTGCTGCTGTTGTTGTTACTGCTGCTACTGCTGCTGCTGCTGCTGCTGCTGCTGCTGCTAGACACGGCACGAGCAGCGCGGGCCTGCAGCTTGTCTCGCAAACTGCGCACCTTGGAGTGCAGCAGATCTAAATCTCTGGCGCCTTCCTTCATCATGCTGCAGCTGCTGCAGCAGCTGCTGCTGCTGCTGCTGCTCTACTGCTGCTGCTGCTGCTGCTGCTGCAGCAGTTTCTGGCTGCGTAGGGTTTGGAGCTACTGGGGAGTTATGTGGAGGAGATAAACCCTCATTATCGTGCAAAGAAAAACTTCATTCCAGATTCAAATTCCTGCTGTTGCTCCTGCTGCTGCTGCTGCAGCAGCAGCAGCAGCAGCAGCCGCTGCAGCAGTGCCGCAAGGCCAAGGGGAATGTAGTAAAGCGTGGGAAGGGGGTTTAGCTGGTTCAGGTTGCTTCTGTTGCTGCTGCTGGTGTATATAATTACTGCTGCTGTTGTTGTTGTTGCTGCTGCTGCTGTTGCTGCTGTTGCCTGTGCTGCTGCTGCTGCTGCTGTTGTTGCATGCAGCCGCCGTGCACAAGAAGGAGTTATTGCTGGAGAATGTCTGTCAAAGAGGGTAAAGTGAAGAAGGGTTTATGCTGAGTCACTCTAAAGGGATTATATTTGCTTTTGCTGCTGCTGCTGCTGCTGCTGCTGCTGCAGGCAGCCCCAGCAGCAAGGCTTGTTTGCATGCGGGCCTCAGCTGCTGCTGCAGGAATCTCTCGTTTCTTCTGTTTTTTATGATAAAATTTAAATAATAAACCTATTTAATAGTATGTATATAATATTAAACATAGTTTTTGTTTATATACTATCATTTTCTTACCCCGAAGTTATATATAAACTTCTTCTTACCTACCCTTGGATCTGTCGTCTGTATAATATTTTTATGTATTTCTACTTGGTTGCAGTTTAAACATCTCAAGGCAGAAGATTCATCATCAGCTGTATACAGTGACAGTGCATGCAGTGCGGTGGTTACCCCTAATCAACCCTAAACCCTAAACCCTGAACCCTAAACCCTAAACCCTAAATTCTAAACCCTAGAGCAGGAGTTACAACAAGGTATGCTAGTGCTCTTCATGGGCTGCCTCCTCCCCGCAACTCCTTAACGACGCCTAAACCCTAAACCCTAAACCCTAAACCCTAGATAAGGAGCTACAACGAGGTATACTCGAGATCTTTACGGGCTGCCTCTTCCCCAAACGAGCCCTAGACCTTGTGTCGGCTGTGCATGCATAATATATTAGTTAAAATGCTGGTGTAAGCTAGATGTTCTTCATTATTATTAGAAATTATACTTTTACAATAATAAGAAACGCTTTATTTTTTGTGCATTCATGCAAAACATATATAAAGCCTTTGAGTCAGGCGCACCTCGCCTTCATACTCTCGCATTCATCTTCTTTTTAAATAACAGATTTATGCAGATTTCTTTCTGGCGTTCGATTTAATAGAAGAAAAAACTAAGGCAAAAACAAACATAGAAAGCGCTTCTGACCAGAGTGAGCATCTGTATATATATATATATATATATATATATATATATATATATATTATATATATAGATAAAATATATATAT